CATAACTTTGTTGTTAGAATTGTAACAAGAACATTGTAATTATTTAGCATCTCGGTCAACAAATGATTTCATGATGCTTCATCATGCAAATTCTATGAAGAACTCCAAACGAGCGATGTGTTGTTTGCAATCAATTGGACTACTGCTTTGAATTTCTTTGACCTATCAATTAGATATCTGTTTAGCTAACCAAAAGTGATGGAGCGTCAATGTCACTATCACAGACTTTGTAATGTTGTTTACTACTCCCCTGCTAATCTGGGGTACAGTTTCCCCAAAGCATAGTTGTTAGCAACATTAGAAACTTACATAGTTGGAACCATACAACTATACAATTCCAACTAAATGAGCTGCTAAAAGCATCATTCGGGAATTGGACTTACATTCTTAGCCTACTAATAATAAGTAACCTTACATCAATGGCTGTCAGTATATATATTTTTCCTTGCCAGGTGCACTTGTAGAAACTGCACACGTGCCCCTCGAGAGAGACAATAAATGTTGCAGGCTGTTCAGGTGTGTTGGGCTTGAAAAAGGGCTGCTGTACTTGTTCAGGGGCATAGTTAAGGCTCTGTTACAGAACACTCTAGGATTTTTTTAATCAGCCCGTTTACCACCTTTTTTTACATATGTGGGATTTATATTTGAACGAGGGAACAACAGCGTGTGGGATTGACGGTATGTCAGTTCCAGGTACCAAACTCTCCTTTTCAACAATGCTAATGTAAACACAGATTTTCATTCTATGGCACCTTTAAGTCTGTTTGTTGTGCATGCTTAGGCAAAGAAAAGGGCAGAGTTGTCAACAGATCACACACAGATCAGGTGGAAAGGAGGAAGATAAATTATCCAGAAAGAACCAAATAAGCAGTTGTAAAAGACCACGCCCAAGACCATGACCAAGACCACGCCCAAGGTCTTAGTCATGGTGACAGCTGTTGAGTTGGTGCCTGTTTTGGCAGTAAAACCTGAGAGCTACTGTCCCGCAGAGAGGTGTTAACACCCCATAATGACTGTAGAGAAGGCATGGGGATATGAGCTGATATAACTGATATATAAGAAGAGTTTGGGGAGGCAACTGAGAAAAACTAAGGTGGCCTAAGATTTGTTTTTTTTTTTATCAACCCTTTGGAGAAGATGGTCGGAGTTTGCTCAGGTTGTGTTGCTCAGACGTGAGAAAATGCAGACCATCACCGAGTGTGGTACAGTAAAGCACATGGACATGCCCTAGTCTATGCTAGAGGATGCATAAGCAAGCATTGAAATATTATACAGAATAATATTCTTCAGTTAAAAGTGCCAGATAAGCAAGTATTTCATTTTTTTTTTTTTAAATGATGCTGTACTTAGAGTAGAGTATACACAAACACACACACACACGGACACACACACACGGACACGGACACGGAGAGCTGCAAATGTTGGAGAATGTAAGTACAATACAAAACATACTAAGGGTGCCTCAGTGGGTGGCACCTTTGGAATCAGACCCCCCTCTGCTCTGTGTGTGTGTGTGTGTGTGTGTGTGTGTGTGTGTGTGTGTGTGTGTGTGCGGCTTTCCGCTTCTCTCTGTGCTGCGTAGCTTTTCTCCTGTAGTTCAAAGACATAAGGTTAGGTGAACTGGCATCTCCAAATCACCCGCTGTGCGTACACTGTGATGGAGCGGCATCCTGTGCAGCCTGTACCCCAGCCTTGTACCCTGTGATGGAATGGCATCCTGTGCAGCCTGTACCCCAGCCTTGTACCCTGTGATGGAACGGCATCCTGTGCAGCCTGTACCCCAGCCTTGTGCCCTGTGATGGAGCGGCATCCTGTCCAGCGTGTACCCCAGCCTTCTTCCCTGTGATGGAGCGGCATCCTGTCCAGCGTGTACCCCAGCCTTGTGCCCTGTGATGGAGCGGCATCCTGTCCAGCGTGTACCCCAGCCTTCTTCCCTGTGATGGAGCGGCATCCTGTCC